TGTAAACGAGTACGTGGGTGTTTGGTTTCGGTAGGCAAGGCCCGAGCTTCATGGTCGCGTTGAGGATGGGAGATAATGCAGGGGCCTGAATAATGGGTTTAGGGTACAGGGTTTAGGGTTTAGATTAGGCTTTTGGGGGGGTTCATGATTAAAGTTGTAGTATAGTATGCCCCAAACCCTATTCTAATTATTAAGGCCCCTATACTAATCTTCTTAAAGGCCAGGCACCTCTTGCGGCGAAGAATCGGGTTCTTCATTTGTGCGAAAAGGGGGTTTCCGAAAAATAGGGGACTAGTAGGATCCTTATTATCAGGACCCCAAAATAAGGTACCCAAATTTTCGGAATTTCCCAAAACGGCCCTGAATGCCTACCTGGAGCCTCCACCGTAATTCCTTCGGGGCAAGTCGACACTCCGACTTCAGGAAACACGGCAAGCACACACATGCAAACACGTAACACGACCTTGTTCTGGTCTAGGCAAATCCATAGCGACCTGCATTCTGCCTTCTAATTAGAAAAAAATATCGGGCTCCATTAGAGTAATCATTATAAGAAGGAGCCCTAAGGAATCATATTGGCAGTGAGTAAGGCCACCCCCTAAGCCCCAAACCCGGAAACCCAAACCTCTGATCTTGGCGGGGTTTTGAGGCAGAGGATGTCTGCTGGAGCCCTAAGCCCGAAAAACCCTATACACCCTAAACCCCTAAACCTTAATCTTTTCTTCCGAGACCCTGGACCCAAACCGAAACCATACGCCCCAAACCCGAAAGCCCCAAACATCCCTAAAATCTTACTAGTTACTTGCAGCTGCGAGTTTAGGATTTGGCTAGGAGAAAGGAACATTAAGAGCGTTTCCTACAAAAGCGTCCAGGTTTATGCGCCAACATGCAAAAACCCTAAACCCTAAACCCTAAATCCTCAACATGCAAAAGCTGATTTCTGCAGGTTCAGTTTGGATTTTTGATCAGAGGCTCCCTTCTTCAAATCATCAAGAAGACCTAAAATGTTGGATAACCCTTTGGACTACAAATACCCAAACGCCAAAACAATATGCCCCTAAACCCTAGACCCTAAACCCTAAATCTATATGCTTTACAAAAAAATAAAAGAAACGGCTCTAAAGGAGAGAGAAGCGTTTTTCGCTGGGCCTTTCGGGTCTCCTGGCAGCTCTGGTGCGGCCGGGTTGGGGTATTCCACCATTTGGGTACTTCTCTAAATTGGGGTCCCCTTTTAGGGCTCCTTAAATTATAAGGGTTCTATAAGGGTAGTTCTCTAAATTAGGGTCCCTTTTAGGGTCCTTTGTTATCAAGGGTGCCGTACTGTATAGAGGACCTTAATTTAGAGAACTACCATGTGCCTTAAGCGCCTGGCCGATGGTCTAGCCCTTTCTTTAGGATCTACCTGGAACCCCCAAAACGTAATTTTTTCAAGGCCTCGCGCAAGGAAACCATAAGAAGGAGAACTAAACAGGTAGGTTGTTTACGGTTCAAGCAGTGTGTGGGCCTTTAAGGCTATAAGGCTCAAGGCCTTACTGTTAGCTTTTGCGGCATGCTCAGCTTCGTTTTTGTTCGCCACTTCTCTGCTGCCGGACACGCAGGCCGCTGCTAATTCGCCTTGCGGTCAGCGGCGTGGACCCCCTAAACCCTAAACCCTAAACCTCAGACCCCAAACCCTGAACCCTAAACCCCCTGAGTATCTACGCGGGAAATTCCTAGACAACCCACAAAACGATTTCGGCAGATTGGGTGCCTAAAACATGACCGCACCCTGCTCTCCCATACTTATTAAACGATCAGGGGCGCAGTAAGAGGGTTTTTGGATTAGGGTAGCTACACTTATCATTACAAACCTGAATTCGGGTACTTATCACTACATTGGCCCACCAGAACCTACATTTTTGTAGGGTCCCTACAAGATTCTATAGTAGGGTTTGCGCTGGAACATACACAACAGGCTATGGTAGCTTATGGTAGAATATATATATATATATATATATATATATATATTTATTTATTTATTTACCAAGTGCCTGCGTCCTTCCACAAGCCCTGGGTCCTAAACCCAACAAAACCGAGTCAGAAGCCCAGCTGCACTCCCTCCAAGCCCTCCAAGGTAAGGTGACAGGGTTTAGAGTGCTTCATCTCGTTAAACACCAATTTGCCCCTTACAATCAAGCTAGGTAGGAATCCACATGTTGCGGTATAGTAAACCCCGGAAAGTTGGAAACCCCATCGCCTGAATCCTTAAGAGTAATGTATAGGTACTTCCAGCACTAATTGTCCTTGATCCGGTTTCCAACGTTTTGGGGTATACTATACAGGCTAGTCGCCAACTCCCTCAGACCCTTTTAATGAGTCGCATTCGTCATGGTCTCGCGCTCAGGTTTGCCCATTCACACTGTGTGACTGAGCTATTGGCTGTGTCCTCTCTTGGGTGAGACCAACCAGGAACAGGATAAACTGGATTTCCGCAGTGCATGCCCATGTCATCTAAGATCACCACGTCCGCCTTTGTGAGCAGAGTCAACATCGGAAGTTGGGATTGCTCCACGTGTTGTGGAACTACGAAGCGTCCTCGAACGAGGAATGCGATCTGATGTGGAATCGTGGTACCTCCTAACACCACTCCACTGGTGATAGCTATGAAGCGGTCGTCAAGTGGTACTCCAGCTTGATACTGTTGATGGACAAAATTCTGCATGACCCAAATATAGTATAGTACCATAAATCCCATAGTTTAGGCATATGATCTCATGCAGGATTTTGTCCATCAGCCGAACAGCGCCAGAAGGTTGGGGTCCTTGCCGGACATGGTCACATTTGCACCTGGCTCCGCGATCGTGAATTGAAGCTCCCAGCTGCTGTGAGCAGTGTAATATAGCGGCCTTAATACTCTAAATATATATATATATATATATATATATATATTTTGGGGGGGGAGGGGGGGGCGGGGCGTCACGATTATAAGTATAACAGAATATACCCCAAAACCCCATTCTAACTTTTTTGAGGCCCCTGCATTACACCAGCAAGACAAAGTACCCAGGGGTTCAGGGATTAGGGGTTTGCGGCACCAAGCACATATTCTGATGGAGCTGCCATCTGAATAACAGGAACTGGATATGAAGGGGTATCTGATTTGGGGGTCCTTATGATAAGGATCCTACTGTTTAGGGTACTATATTAGGGTCCCCCTGCTTTGGGAAACCCCCATATTGAAGTCAAAGAAACCGAAGTGATGCTAGACGTCGAGTCTCTTCAAAATTAAACCCCAAAACAGCCTCATCCCTCAACGTAGACGCTATAATGCCTAAGCCTTGAGAAGGCCCCTAAACCCTAAACTTCTCTAACCCCCGCCCCAAAAAATAAACAAGCTAAAGGTTTAGGGTTTAGGAATTAGGGGTTTAGGGTTCAGGGTTTAGGGTGCCAACAAAAACCTGAACCCTAAACCCTAAATCCTAGACCCGAAATACCAGACTCTAAAACCTGAACTAAACCCTGAATCCTAGACCCTAAAACCCTAAATCCTAGACTCCAAAACCTGAACTACACCCTGAATCCTAGACCCACAGAAACCCCTAAACCCTAAACCCTAAACCTTCAACACCAGCTCCAGCCTTGGACTTCGCCCCTCTCACGTCCCAGAAGGGCAACACGCGGGCACCCCCGTAGAGAAAGATCGAGTAGCACCTCTAAGGTTTAGGGGCGGAAGGGTCCATGGTTTTAGGGTTGAGTTTAGGGTTTAGGGTTTCGGGTCTGAGGGTTGGGGTCTGGCGATTGGTGTTAGGGTTTAGGGTTACTTAGAAGCTCATGAGACTTAGTAAGTATAGAGTTATACCTAGGATTATCTGAGATAGCCCTACTTAGGGCACTTATACCCCCAACTATCATCCTACTTATTACAGCAAGTCCCTTGAGCCCTTCAGTAGGGCTTCAGGTTTTATATGCTTCAGAAGGGTTCGGACATTAAGGTGCCGGTGAAGAACCTTAAATCCGAAACTCTAAACCGAGGGCGTTTACGAAAGACTCTGAGGCCCAGGTAGTATAGCCTTTGGGGATTGGGCCTTTAGGCTTTAGGGTTTAGGGTTCGGGGTTTAGGGTTTAGGGTTAGGGTTTACGGCTTTTTTTTTAAGGGCCCTTTTCCCTCCAGCAATCCAGGGTTTTAGGGCTTAGGGTTTGGGGTCCCAGTTCCCGAACCATGGTTATTGGGACCTGGGACGCCGGGTGTGAGTTTGGTGTTTAGGGTTTGGGGGTTAGGGTGTTTAGGGTTCGGGGCTTAGGGTTTGGGGGTTTCACGTTCAGAGGTCAAGGTTTGGGGTTTAGGGTGGTAGACTTTTCTGCTTCCTGATGCCACGGGACTTAGAAGACAACTCCCTGAATCCCGAAGCTAGTAAGTAGTAGGATCCTTATTATAAGGACCCCAAAATCAGGTACCCCTTATTTTCGGAAACTCCACCCTAAACCCTAAACCCTAAACCCTTATTTTCGGAAACTCCGGTATCCAGTTCCTGGGGTTAGGATCTACGCTTTAGGGTCTAGGGTGTCAGCTCATTGGTTCGCTGAAGCTCTGAAAGCCCGAGAGACCGTGCAGCGAACTGATCAACACAAGTTTTAGGGGTAGGGTTTAGGGTTTAGGGTTTAGGGTTTAGGGTTTGTAGGGTTTAGGGTTTGGGGGTAACATCACCCGAGCTGCCGGCATGAAGACCTTCGAAGCAAGAAGAACCATTAGGTTTCGAGGGAAGCAGACTGTTTGTAGACGGACTTGCAGGGAACACTAACGTTAGTCATGCTTCTTCTAGCTGAGGCTCCTATCTAGGGGTTTCTTACACTTGCGGGTACCTATCTATGGTCCCTGCAGTCGGGATTCTTTGATCTTCTTTGTCTCGCTTTATTGTGACGAGTAACGGCTGTGCGAGGCATTGTCCTGTAAGTTTGTAGGCCTGATCTTTATACCGTTCCAACTTTGGTAATCAAGGAACACCACCAGATAACATGACGTTTCAAGAACTCTCTTCAAGCGGTCCTCATAGCCCAAGGGGATGTTCGTCATGTCCTAGCAACCTTGCTGGTCCTATTCTCTATCAGCAACCTTCTCCCGTGGTAACCAGGCAGGATGACACGGCGACCACGCCAGCCAAGAAAGTTCCATTCCTGTGAGGTCTGGCTCTAATCCCTCATCCCTAAGGCAGGTCGGATGGGTTTAGGCTTCAGCCCTGCGTCGAGAATGCCAGACAGCTCTGAAACCCAATCAAGTCATGAACCCGTAAATCCTATCAGGGTTTTAGCTAGGACCAGAAAAATGAACACATCCTAAGCCATAAACACCATGTCTTACACCTTTGTGAGATGGCCACATGTACGAGGTAGGTAAACGAAAGGCATTGTGAAGTGTGCTAAGGCACTGGAACAGTATGTGCTAGCTCTTTCCATGCTCTGTTAGAACTGCTCAGCTTCACTAAGCAGTTTGTCAGAAAAAGGCGCCTCTCGTTTATATTACTGCAGTCCTGAACAGCGTGCTTGAGGGCCGATGAATCCACACAAATCCGATAATTCAAACGATCTGGGCGAGAACTCCGATCCCAGTTTTCTTCTCTGCACTGGCCTGCATCAGGGTACAAAGTAACTGATCATCAAATCAAACCCTAAATCCTAAACCCTAAACCCGGACTTGCACGCTCCATGAAGCTTACAAACTAGATGGAGGTCGCGGGTACTTGCAAGAAGCCGGTGAGAGCGATACGTACACTCATGGACGTTTTTTTGACTTATATCTCTTGTGACTTGTGTTTCCACCTCCAAACATCGCGTTGCCGACGCACTCCCGTGAGTTTCTGCCTTCGGAAGTCATGCTCCCGCCACAGAGTGGTGCCCAATTTGGACTCGTGTGGTCTCGGGACCCCGAAGGCTGCTACTGGAATGGCTCTTGCGTACGCAGAGTGATGCTCTTTCATTGTGTGGGTTCTGTGCGAAATTCCCGGTAACTTTACCCAGAGCAAAGCCATGCTGTTCGCCTCCTAACTAATCCTGAATCCCATGAGGACGAACTACTTGCCTAAGGTAGCTTTGATGTCGCCATCCGGTCTATTCGAAACCTCATCCTGTGTGTTCGATTTTCTTTGGGCATGCTGACAATGAGACGCTGAGCATAAGAATCAGGTAAAGTGATTGCAACTTGTCGTCCTTCACGTATAGGTTTCCGATTGTTTTCGGCAGGGTTAGACGGCGTTTGTACTTAGGGTCATACGGGGCGTTTCAGTCTTCAGATCCGATGTCGTAATCTCTGTCAAGATACAGCTGCAGACCGAAGTACATGATCGAGAGGGCAGTGGTCAGCACCTTGGCAGGCTTTCGGCTGTGCCTATGCCCTCTATATTTGCAATCAGCTTTGCATGGATGAATGATGCATGCAAGCATGCATGCTTACATACTTACAGGCAAGCACGCAGACAAACAACAAAATCAACAAACAAATATACACACAACAAAAAAAACAACACACACACACATCTATATATATATATATATATATATACGTACATACCTACATGCTTACCTACCTACCTACCTACCTACCTACCTACCTACCTACCTACCTACCTACCTACCTACCTACCTACCTACCCACCTGCCTGCCTACCTACCTGCCTGCCTACCTACCTACCTACCTACCTACCGACCGACCTACCGACCTACCGACCTACCGACCTACCGACCTACCGACCTACCGACCTACCGACCTACCGACCTACCGACCTACCGACCTACCGACCTACCGACCTACCAACCTACCAACCTACCAACCT